CGCCGCAGGCGTGGGACCCGCGCGCGCTCCGGCTGGGGAAGGGAGGGTTGGGGCACTGCCTGATCCTTTCAGAAGCATGACGTCCGGCTGGGTCTGGGGGCTTGGGCCGGGAGTCCGGCCTTTGGACGACCTCCTTTAGGTGGGGGCTGCCAGGCCTGAGCGGGGAGGACAGCTGGACTCGGGCCGAACGGCCTGAGGTCACCTGAGTTGCGAGACACCGCAGCGCTGCGCGCGTTGTCGCAGAGGAAGGACACGTCAGGCCGGCCTCTGCTCTGGGGAGAGGAAGGAAAAGTCCAGGGACAGCCTGAGAGGGAATACGCAGCGGACTGGTAGTGGCTGTCATTGCTCACTGCTCTCCTGGCAGCCAGATGTTTAGCGGACCAGGGTCGACTTGACTGGCAAAGAACTCTTCTTGCTTCCTTTCGTTCTGGCACTTCTCCATATTGTTTAGTTGGTGATCTTGCTTGAAAGAAGAAATACCTTAGTGACGAGAGCAGGTTTAGTTAGGATTGTGCCCCACGAATATTTGGATAATTTTTTACAACAGTGCCCATTTTTATAATTCTGTAATAAACTTTATTTCTGTTTTCCTCACATTTGAGGAGGGAGTGAAACTGTGAGCGGAATCATTGTAATTAATTGAGAGAGACCAATGAAAGCAGCTGTTATTGTATAAAAAATAATAAAAAAAACACCTTTTTGTGGATATACTTTGAATTAGTTATACTATAGATAATTGAACACGAAGTAGAAAAAGGTATTTATTAGGTTCCTGAAAGTAAAAAAGCCATCATGGAAAATGAGGTTATTTCTAAGTCAGAATTGCTATGGAGTGATGATCACTGAACTGTTTGGTATGCCTTCAATTCAAAAGATTAAAAAGAAGCTGGCACAAAAATTTATGATCTAATGGTGTTTTAAAATAATCTCTTAAAGCATCAGGGTTCCTAAGATTAAAGATTCTTAACTCAAGGACCTTTTCACGTATTAATCTCTCCATTTCACATGTCACATGAGGAAATAAGATGTACATAGTTTTAGAGACTAATCGACTTTGGATCACCCCTAGTATCTATTCAGTACGTATTGTATGCAAGGCAATACCGTGGTGTGGACCTCAGTATCGCTAAGGTATGAGACTTATTCTAATGGGCCTATAATTTAGTTGTGGAATAAAGGGCACACAGAGAAATGGTAACTAAAGATATGGTTTCTAGAATTCTGAGACAGTAGGTACTATGAGAATGCAGGAAAAGGGTCGAGTTGAGCCATGAAAGTGTAGGTATGAATGAATGACGGAGAAGAAGTGAGGAAATAAGAAAGCAAGAATGGTAAAGGTGGCATGGGAGAACCTGAAATGCCCACTTATTGGAAAAAGTGGGGAGATAAGGTTGTACAAAAAAGATAGATTGATGGCATCAAATCAAGAAGTAGCTTTGTCCCAGGTGAAGCAAGGGATAACAAGTAGTAACTGTATTTACTTCAGATGAAGCTGGAGCCAGCCATTAGAAAAGATGTACAGCCTTGTTACTTTTCTCAGCCACCCAGGATTCATACCTCAAGATCCATTATTGCCTTTCTTTTTTTCACCCTCTGGGTTCAGCTGGTTGCCAGGTCTTGTTGATACTGTCTCTGTACTCTTTCTTGTATCTGCTTCCTTTTCTTACTGTCATCACACTGATTTGGGGCCTTTGATATACCAATCTCTTGAATTATTGCAGAAACCCCTAACATTTTTTTTCTTTCCTCCCATTTGTCTTGTCTACTACTATCACTTTTAGATATCTCACTTCCCCAGCCAAGACTTAATGACTCCCCACTGTCTGTTGAATTAAGCAAAGACCAGCCTCGCATGGGCACTATGGGTAAATGCATTTCTAGCAATTTCCTTAGATTTTTATTATATTTTCCAGGTCAGTGGAACTGTTGTTCTTTGTGCTTTGCTCTTTGTGCTCTATATCTTTGCTCATGTTGCTTTTTCTATCTTAAATGACCTCCTTCAATCTCTAATTGTTGATTCTTACTCATGTTTCAGGGCCATTTGATATGGAATTTCCTTCGTGAAACTTTTCTTTATTTTTCTCCCCATCTAGATGAGACTTGTCTCTCGTTTAAACCATGATAACACCAGAGTCTACCTTTTTGCTACAATTGCCAACATAAGACTAAAACTTTTTCAAGACATGGACTATCTTCTTCATCATCTAGCACAGTGTTTTGTACACAGTAGGTGCTTGGCAAATATATTTTATATTGAACATAGCTTTGAACCAGGATGGCTGCAAAGAAAATTCTTTGTGCAAACAAAATATTCATTGCAAAATCTGTAAATAAAGTTACTTATGTGAAAGAATTCCTTACTGAGAGATCTGGTGTATTGATTTGGATAGCCTGGGTTAGGCTGCATTAACACAAACCCTTTAGACTTAAGTGACTTAACAGAACAAAAATTGACTTCTCATTCATTCCACATGTCCAACATGAGTGCATGAGGAGCTCTGCTCCTCACAGTCACTCAGGACTCAGGCTGATGGAAACTCCATCTTAACAGAGTGTTTCCAAGATTATTTTGATTGCGTGAAAGATGGTGATCAAGGGAAGTTACTGTCCCAAAGTGGCATGTGTCACTTTCATTTATATTTCATTGACTAAGACAAGTGACATGGCCATGCCTAACTTTAAAGAAACACAGAGAGTTGCAGTCTTAGCATGTACCTGGAAAGCAATGAGCCAGAAATAATTTGTGTACAGCGCAAATGACTACTACATCTCTTTGAGTATCATGGCCTGTAGAAGATTAGAGGTGACAAAATCAAATGGACTAGTAGAGACAAACATATTGACAGTAGCAAGAATTAATAGCTCTAACGAGGCATGGGTTGAGAATGAATTGAGAAGTCAGAACTCCATTATATGCATTGTAAATGATCACAGTCTAAGGCTATTGATACAAGGGCAATCTATTATATCCCAGCACAGTCATTCCTAAGGGCACACTGTTTTATAGAACCCTCAGTAATGAACACAGGAATGGTCCTGAGGCATCCAAAAAAAGTTAAATTACATTCAGGATATCCAATTTAAGAAGCCAAGAAGTGTGTAATAACTTGAAATACCTTTTCATTGAATGGTTAAAATAAAAAGGAATCTAGGTTCAGCCTGGTTGGTTTAATTTGGTTTAATAGAGGCTATCAAACTTTGGTATTTGGGGAGGAGATTTCACTTTGACAAAGAATAGAAGCATAGAGTTTGGAGCTGTTTGGAGCCCTGCTTCAGGAGGTAAGATCTGGGTTGAAATCTTGGCTCTGCCACTATTGTCTGACACTGAGCAAGTGTCTTATTCTTGAGCCTGAGTTTCCTTATCAGTGAAATACTAGTGTGGTTATGAGGATTAAATGAGTTTATGTAATGTGCTTTGCACAGTCCCTGGTTCAGAGTAAGCACTCATGATCATGTCCATCAGTAGCAACAGCAGCAGCAATAGGATTTGAAGAAACTTTTGAGAAATCGGGTATGATAACTCCAGAGATGTAGGTAGAAGGGTTCCCCCAGATTTTCCTACCTTTTTCTCTTTTTTGGATAGCATTCTTGCCACACCTTTATTGTTTTCACACCTATCATGATTTACTTAGTTACATGTTTGTGTCTCCCATTAGACTAGGTGCTCTTGTCATCCCAGAAAAATTTATTGAACATGAACTCTGTGCTGGGCTCTATGCTACACCAGACATTAGGCATTATAAATATGAAAGATATGTCCCTGGCCTCAAAGAACCTGTAGTGTGGTAGGACCAGAAGCCAGTAAACCAGCAGTTAGAATACATTGTAACAAGGGCTGTGTTTGTGGGTCCTGTGGGATTGCCTATATTCACACTGGGAATAAAAATAATGGTTTTCCAGAGAAGTTCACACCTAACCTAAGTCTTGGAGAATCACTAGTTATTAGCTGGGTGGATGTGGGTTTAAAAGGCTTTTCAGACAGGAAACAATGTGTGCAGTGCCCTAGAAACACAAGAAAGTGGCTACATCCTGAAGATGCTTGAATGGCAGGAGAACAGGGTATGTTTGAGGAGTATGCGGAGGCTGCCAAAGTTGGACTGTGAAGGCTTTGTGAGTCTAGGAGTTATAGCTTTGTCTTCAGATGATTAGGAGCCACTCGAAGGATTCAAAGGTAGGAAATAACTTTTATCAGCTTTGCCTTTGAGGAAGATCCCTGTGTGTGGAGGAAGTAGAGTAGTAAATATCCTATTTCCCTGACATGGGAGGTTCTGAGGTTTGCAACCATAGTACTGTGCCTACTACACAAGAGTCATAAAATATTTATATATAAGGAGAGATTAAAGTGAAATGAGACTGGAGGAAAAGATACCAGTTAGGCTCTTGCAGTCACATGAGGGCTGTGTCCATGTCTTTCCTAGGAGTAGAAGAGAGTACCATGGCTTCACCAGTTTCTACGGTATGACCTTGGGCAGGCTTCAGAACCTCTCGTGTCTTCTTGGTTTTCAACTTTTAAAAATGGGGATAAAAATCACTACCTTTCAAGGTTGCTTGAGGATTAAGCAAATGTAAAAAACCTGACCTTATGCTATTAGGCACATAAAGGACCTCTTATAATAAAAGTACTAGTTCTAGGATTCCTAATGTTCAGTATATTACCTGGTTCATGGTCGATGATCATTAGCCTTCAATGCCACCACCTAGAGATAACCGTTGCCAACATTGTGGTTTTATTTACACATTGTAAATGATTGATGATGCTGAAATGGCAGTGTTAGGCATGAGGGAATTATTCTGAGATCAAGAAGGAAAGAATTGATGTGAATATCATACCAATTTAAACATTCTTTAAATACCAGCAGATTATATCTAGCTATTCAGCTGTTCCCAGCCCTCACTCAGAAGTCACACATGCACATGTGCATACACTCTTGCTACTGATATTATAATGTGCTCACTGCATGGGCTGCTAAAATATATGCACTTATCCTTTGGCCTATCATTGTTATTGTTGACTGTCTCCCCCTGAAATTTTGCTCTTCCTTAGTCTTCCAAATGTGTTTTTAAAGATTGTAATGGGATTTAATTCTGATTTGCTCTTCATCATGTTTCTTCCTGGTTGTCCTAGCTGATAGGAGTTTCTCCCTGCTGAAAATGTTATTCTGAGTGAATGTCATCTACTGCCTTGTCTTATTATTTGTCTGCATGTCAGTAAGTTTCCCTTTTCCTGGATATCAGTATTTCTTACAAAATAATGAAAAAATGGTTTGTTAATGTATTTTTAACATGACTTGAAAACCCACCGAAACCTTTTGTTTGAAATATGTGAAACAGGTTAGAAAATTCTGTTACTAACTTTTTAAAGTATATGACAGTGATTCTCGGACTTTTTGGTCTCAGGACCCCTTTATAGGTTTGAAAATTGTCGAAGACCCCAAAGAACTTTTCTTTTTGTGGGTTTTGTCTATTGATATTTAATGTATTAAAAAGTGCTGAGAACACAAGAATACATGAGCACACATTCCATTAGCCATGGGGACAATGATGTCATCACATGTCATCATATATAGCCTCTGGGAAACTCTGTTAGACCCTTGTGAAAGAATGAGAATGACCAAGGCAAATAATATCTGAGAATTATTATGAAAATGATTTTAAACTTGTGGATCCACTGAAAGGGTCTTGGGGACCCTTAAAGGTTCTTGGACCACAATTTGAGAACTGCTGACATACTGATATAAGAGTTTTTATAAATGACACTTTTACATCGTTTGGCAACAAAATAACATAAGGGTAGAAACACTGCCAGACATCTGTTTTCAAAATGTACTCAACATAATTTCTTTAAAAAAAAAAAAAAAAGAGTTTCTAGCTTTTGTTAAAATATCTCCTTTACCTTGAAAGGACAGATGTATGTATTTTTGGAATATCTGCTAGGTACATCCTTCTAACAGACATTTGCCATTCCAGAAAAGGTCAGCAAATTTGGAACACCAGTATTTTTGTAAAACAAACATATGGAACTGCTCTTTAAGTTCTAGAAATCTTATACGTACTTGGCCAGATGATAACCAGAGAACTTCTTTGAAGTATAAGAGTTTCATGGTTACTCACCATTTCATTGTCAAGTCTAGATTTGATCCTATTTAAAAAATCTAAATTTTCTGAAATTGACCACATTGATGTCATTTCGTAATACATTAACTACACTGCATCACAAAGCAGATGAATAAGAGATGGCACCACTGCCCCCCATGCTGTGGAACTTTCTTATTTCTTGAGAATTTTTCCTGAACCTCATGCGCTACAAGACATCTGACACGGATTATGTGAGGAATTTAGTGTCAATTGAAATTAGATACCAGAACAGTTTAAGAGTTCTGGTGTTTTCTTTTGATACTTTGGTGGAGCATGTTTAATTTCTTTTGAGATATATAGTTGGCCCTCTATATGTGCAGGTTCCACATGTGTGGATTCAGCCAACCGAGGATTGAAAATATTCAGGGGGAGAAAGTGTTATGTTGTACTATGGAGTTAGGCCTAAATGGCTGAGTGTGTGCTTAACGTTTACAGACATTTTCTTGTCATTGTTCCCTAAACAATACAGTATAACAACTACTTACATCACATTTATATTGTATTAGGTATTATAAATAATCTACAGATTATTTAAAGTATATGGGGGGGGTATATAGGTTATATGCAAATACTAAGCCTTTTTATATAAAGGACTTGAGCATTTGCGGATTTTAGTATCCTATGTACTAGACTAATCCCCCACGGATATGGAGGAAGGACTCTATCTGCTCTCTGAAGCTGAATGGCCTGGGCTGTTACAATAGCATCTTCTTGCTCTTGCCTTAGTCTTCTCTAGGCTCTCCTCTATATTGCTACTTGAGTAATCTTTCTACAATACAGAACTGACTAGGTTATTTCTGTACTTAATCCCTTCAATGGTTCTTCATTGCCAATGAGATAAATTTCAGACCCCTTAGCATGGCATCTAAGGCCTCTCCTACCCTTTTGCTACTTCAGTTTCTTTGCTGAAGTTTTTCCTAAACCTCACAGAAGTTATTAATTTCTACCATCTCATAATGTCTGTACCTTGTTTATACTTTAACTGCATACATCACACTGCTCTCGAGGACAGGCACCACACTGTGTCTGCAGCTGTATGCAGGTGTGTAATAATGGCTTCCACCTGGACTGATAAGATGGCAAAGCTTCCAGTATAGTTATGCTGCAATATTAATTTCTTTGTTTTTTTTTTTAAAGATATGGGCAGATAAACTATGGCCCTACTACATAGGCCCTAAGACATCTAAAGTCTCAGAGAAATAATAGTAATGAAAAGGA